GAGAGTATCATATAGAAATGATAGCTTGGCATTTTCTCTTCATATGACATCCTTGGAGGCGATGGCCAAACTTTTACTTCCTCTGAAAAATCCTACTGCCAGCTGGAATCAGAACTCTGCCTGCTGGAAACTTAACTTCTTATCTGATTGAATAGCCTTTGAATTATTTTTAGAAATACATCCTGGCAAAGTTAACTTTAATTTACAATCATTTTTCATAAAGTTTATTGAATTAAATACTTTATCCATCGTGAAACTTTTTCCTAGTTTATTGGGGAGTACGTTTAGTACAGAGCTACCACAGAATCTTTACCTAAACCCATTTGGTCATATCATTTTAAGGAGGATGTCATTCTCCCTTTTCTTTACTGAAAGCTTCCCTATTCTTTAAAGTCAGATATCACCATTTAGATGTTTCTAGTTCCATCAAATTCTATCTGAGACAAATTCCTTTAGGAAATATGATACCTTGTTTGTCTTTCTATAGTGGGAAAAGCAAGGCCCTCAGTAATCAAGATAAGCAGAAGCTTGTAAGAAGGGTAAAGGATCTCATCCTTCAAATTTCAGAGTACACTCAACAAAATCTGCATGAACTCTTCAGGAACAATAAATGGTCTTTGAGATCTGTAGAGTAGCTGCTTGGCAAACTCCACATATTTTCACAAAACCATTGTAAAATGTATATTCCTTCATTTGACACTGATTCATCCATGCTGCTATTCTCCCTGAACTATCCCTTTATTTTATGCTTCCCTGGGTGCGTCTGTATGTGCAATTGATGTCCCTGAATTTATTACACAGTAAATTCAGGCTCATTAAATTTGCCCAGGGAATATGTCTACACGTGCCAGATTTGCACCCATTGGGAGCAGCCTAGTCCAGGGCTGCTCCTGCCCTGCTCTTCCCCCCTGAAGCAGCCAAGGGGAGCTCTGGGCTCCCCCAGGTCCCAGTCCCAGATTGGCAGGGGACACTGGGGGCAGCCCAGAGCTGGCAGGGGACACAGGAGTCAGATCTGGGCTCTGGTGGGTGGGGGGGCGGACTTTCCCCAACTCTGGGGGTAGCTCCAGAGGGCAGGGCAGAAGCTTTCCTTGGTTCTGAGAGCAACCCCCTGCCCCATGGAGCTTAGGGTTGGCTGTGGCTGATGAACCTGGGAAGAGTGCATATGGGTCTGAGCCACTAGCTGGAGAGGTGAGGCCCATGGTGCCCATACTATAGCTGTCCTTCCTTCCCTCAGGAACTACAATTGCCCCCTGGAGCTGCAACTGCACTGGCAGTGGGGCCTGGAGCTTCCCTGTGGTGCCTATCCTGTAGCTGAGGGGGAGGCACTGGGGTGCAGGGCATCAGGGACCACATAGCAGCCCCAAGGCAAGTGCCCTCACACTGCTTAGCTGGCTGGGCTGCTCCAGACCCCTGTTCCCTTGTGGAGCCCAAGACAGAGAGCAAGGAGCAAGCAGGCATGGAGATATGGGGGCTGGACATACTGGCGCTTGCCTGCCACTTGCTGAGAGCTCTGCAGGTGTGCTGGGCATAGCCCTGCACTGGTGTGGTAACCATGCAGGGATTGGCAAGTCCGGAGACAAGCCAGCCCAGACCCCTGGTCCACAGGAGCCCCAGAGCCAGGCATGGCTGGAGACAGGCCAGGCTGGGCTCTGCTGTTATACCAGGTACTGCAGGGGAATAGGGCCCTTGACAGTCCAGCCAGGGATGGGATCAGCCACTCTGCCATGTGAGGACAGTTCCCAACCCTGTGGCTGCTGTGTGGTCCCTGCAGCCCAGCACCTCCCCCTACGCTACAGGACATGCACCGTGAAGAAGCTCTGGGCTTCACTGTGCTCACAACTCCTCAGGGAAATCACAGCTCCTGAGGGGAGAAAAGACTAGTACGGTACAGGTGCCACAGACCCTACTTTCCCAGCTGGTGGCTCAGAGCTGCATGCGCTCCTCCCAGAAGCATCAGCCACAGCCAACCCCGAGCTCCACAGGGTTGGGAGCTATCCCCAGAACCAGGGACAGCTTCCCACTCCCTTTGGAGCTTGGGACTTAGCCAGGCAGCAGTGTGGCCCCGTGCCTGGGGCTGACCAGATGCAAATTGCTCCCAGCTAGCATCTACACATGCGGTACAGTGCAGTAGGTCAGTGTGTGGTTTTCTAGTACCTGTATGCAACAGAGGGCAAGCTAAGGGCCGGGTCCCATGCCAGCCCACCCACCTGTCTCTATGGGGCTATCCACTCTGTCTCATCTGCCATGACTTTGGTGTTCCCATAAACGGATGGTAAATGCAGGAGACTGACCATTACTGCCCTGATGCCAGGGGCCACTATCTGTGGCTCCAGTCTCCCTTACACTGCAGCCCATGTCTTGCAGTTGGCATCCACATGATCTTCTTAACTTACACCACAACTGGTGCTCCAGGGTCTCATAGGGACTCTTGCTCCACACCTCTGGAGCAGCAGGTCATTGTGCTCAACTACAGGTCTTACTTTCAACCCACACTTGGCCTCCTTGCAGTGGAGGACTTACCAGGGTCAGGACTCACCTCTCTCTCTCTGACTGAACCCCCTTACTCGGCCTTTGGCCCAAACTATGGCATCAAGCATCTGAAGACATACCTTGGCCTACTCCCCTCACATGGGGTTCCTACTATGCCCTCTCTAGGGCCTCTGCATCACACTCCACCCTGGGGTCTACTCATTGTCTTCCCAATCAACTACTCATGAGGCTGGCCCTTGCGCTGTTCTTTAGGCCTACTCCCATTCAGCCCTACTCTGTGCCTGGCCACACAACTCCACCCTCTTTTCTCACACCTCACTACAATGCCTTCTCTCAGGGCCTCGGGGTTGACCACCCCTATAGGCTCATGTGGCACTTTGTTTCCTGTGCCTGGCCCCACTACACTCACTCCCTGGGGTCTTACATCCCCCTCATGGGCTCAGGTGGCCACAGTCATGCCTGGCCCCACTCCTGCCTCCAAAGCCCACCCAAAGATGGGGGCTGGGGTTAAGGTACCCTGACCCAACCTTCACTGGGTTGGTAACTGGCCTGGCATTTCCTGGGGACTCCCATGCCACCAGGAGCCCCACCAGACCACCCACTCCCAGCAGGGTACAGTTTCATGCCCAGGACCAAGACCCTCTAGCTCCTACCTGCTAGATGTTCCATGCAGCTCAGCTAGGCAGACTGTTGTATTTATATAGGCAGCCAGCGTTCTAAAATGGCTGCCGCAGTCAAGCACCTCCTGGCTGCTTGACTCAGCCCTTAAAGTGGCAGGCACTGCAAGTGCACTGCCACACTGTATCTATCGGTACTAGCAAACTGTGCATTAGATTAGTCAAATACTCAGTAAAACATCTGGTGTAGATGTGCCCCCTGCTACTGTTCTTCAGGGGCAGAATGCTTTATATATACTCCATAACTGTCAGTCCCATATTTTCTCAATTCGATTTACAGCCCCTAACCACTCAGTCAAACTCTTTGCTTTTCTAGTGTCTTTGAGGTTTAGGATCCTCTTTGATCCCACACTGAACATAGAAAGGTAAACCATGCCAGGTAAGCAGTCAGTAGATCCCCTATTTTTTTCCCCTCAAAGAAATCCTGTGAAGCTTCTACAGGAAATCCTGTATTATCTACCATTCTGCATCTTATTTTAAACTTGTATTTTAAAACACCAGATAAAAATGCATGGTTCTTATTAGCATTTCTCTGATAACATAACAGAGACTTTAAATTTAATGTACTTATAATTTACAGCCACTCCAAAACTTTTTTACACTTCTAGAGCTGGGAGGTGCCAAGGTGCACTACTATAAATGCTAATCAAGCCCTGCATGCTTTTTTTTGTCTGTTATGAAAAAAATGTACCTTATTTCAGTAGTTGGGAAATGTAGTTGGTATGGTGGTGTGGAAAATAGTGGTAAAAATCTCAAAATACAATAAACAGTATATCCACTTCTCATGTCAGATGTGACTAATCACCCTTTTTCTGCCACAGACCTTTGATTCTTTCTTCCTCTAAATTAATACTAAATCAAATAATTCCAAAAGAGCATCTAAAGCTGGGAGAATGGTCAGTTATTACAATCTTTTATTTTATGTTCTACCTTCCCCTTCCAAACTTCCCCCTCCATCCTGAACATGCCTCTATAGTGCCTCCAATAGGTGGTAAAGGAGGCAGCTCAAAGATGTGTCCAGGGGCTGGCAGAATGTGAGTGAGAAGTGTTTGCAGGGAACATGCTTTCTTGTAGGCAGAAAAGGATGACCAAGGGAGGGGGAGTAGAATGGGATGACTACAATGTTCAGAGCAGTCATTACCATGCTGTGAAATGGCAAATTGCAGTCCAGTACTGTTTGCCACAGACTGGAGCTGAAGGTGCTTCAGATTTCTAAAGGTTTCATGACTGAAAAGTACAGTCATGGAAAATTAAATACACTTTAAAATGATGTTGTAAATCAACTTCTGAGAAAGAACGCAAAACATAAAAACCCTGTATTCACAGGTATCTTAATTGTGGCTACTCTGGCTGGGGCAAGTTAACAGACTCTGTACAAAAAATTGTTTAATGAGGCTTGCGATATTATTGTTCAGTTATTGATCACCTGTGGTTTGGTAAGAGGGTGAAAAAGACTTACGGTAAAACTTGAACAAGTTCAGTAAGAACAATAGCAAAATGCAGTTCCAAATGTGGACAGGAAAACCATAACCTTTATAAGAAGAGCTTTTATATAGTATGTAAAAGCTAAATGCTTGTTCTGTACAACTGTCACATCTGCTTTCAGTCTCTGTGCCAAAGGGTCAGAGCTCAATCATAATCCTGTTGCACCCCCTGCTGGTTAAAAGCCTGTGCTCATTTTGTTACTTTACACTGAGATAAACATTGCAGTCATTTCACACTTCTTTTAACATTCCATGTGAATTTAATTATCATTTGTTTGGACTTTGTTTATTACGGAGTACAAACAGTTTATTACAGATGTTCACATTTTTAAGTTTTTTTCATTGACAGTTATTGCACACGATTCACCAAAGACTTCAATATTCAGCCGACTTCAAATCGTCAGGCCTCAATTGTATTCCTGCCCAGCTTTTTGATGAGAAAGGACAAGAAATTAAAAACCCACTTTTACTGAAGAATGAGCAAAAAATTTGGTTTTCTTATGGTAAAGATTACAGGTAGGAGCAAAATGTTTATCCATAAGATTGTCAGCAATCTTTTCGTTGTCAAACTATCAGAAGAGGAAGTTTGATAACCTCCAGGTAAAACCTCTTTTATTTTAATTTTAAATTCCAATAAAATTTCAGAGGTCTTGTTTGAGGCAGTATTGTTTGTAGAATATGACATCTCTGTCTCTGACTTTCTGTCTTAATGCCTTGTCATAGTTCTTGATGTCTGCCTGTCAGCACAGCAAGAGGGATTTTTTCATGTCTGAATAGTCACCTTAATGATAGCAGATGGAAACACCACAGGGGGTCCAAGCCCATCACACTGTCATTGTCACAGACTGCCCTGACCTGTTTCCACTCCTCTATTTTTTGTCTCTTTTTAAAGGAGAAATGGATGGTAATTGAAAAGGATCTTAAGCAAGATTTATGAAGCTGTAGACAACATGATTCCCTGCTATCTCTCTCTGTTTTCACAAATAAAGTCTTAACCTCTTAAGCACCATTGACAGTAGAGAAATAAATTGGTAAAGCTTTTAAAGAGTGGCCTACCAAAGTTTTTTTCTTTAAATAAGTAGTATCCAGGTTGCATTACTTCCTAATCATGTTTGAGGGGTGCTTAGGTTTTTAGATTTAATTCCTGCATAAAATTATCTTATTTCCTACAAAAAAAGTGGCTGTACTACATATTCACTGCTATGCTAGCCTGTTCTGGTTTTTTTGAATTATTGTGAAATTATGTTTCTTGACTTCTGAGATCATGTCTAAAACTTGTTGTCAAGAACCTTGAGCTCACTGTGTTGTATTAACAATTTGAGTTTACTTTCCCAATTAAGTTTATATAATTTGATGCTTATTTATTGTTTAACTATTACCAACTATAATTTAATTTGGTGTGGTTTTAGATACTACTTGTTTAAAAGAACCAAACAATTTTTAAATTTTTAATTAAAGAATGATACAGAATTAGAATGCTGAAAAATAGGTAAATATAGGTATGTAGTACAATACAGTTGTTGGACATCTAATTTGTTCATCATATTGGAAAAAAATTAAGAACTAAAAAAGTATTTTGATTATAACTAATCCGAGACAGCAAGATGACTATTATCTTAATACATTAAACATATTGTGAGTTCAGAGTGTAAAGAATAGTTGGTATATTGACTTGTTGATAATGTACGGTATGCTTTATCCAGTGCCTTATTTCTATTCTGTGTTTCAAAAAGCTGTAAATGAATAAATACTTAACATTTTTAGCCCAGAAAATTAACCAAATACTTGCTAAAGATATTGTGAGTTTTGCTGTTGACAACGCTCTAAACAATTTAAGTAGATTGTGACTAGAATGCAGCTGCATTCCTGGAATCAGTGATAACTTCCAAAGTGGTAACAATTAATCTGTAGCTTGCTACATACCTCCAGAGTTCCTTAGAAACAGATTAAAGGAGAAAAATGTGATCAATTGTGTGCTGAGAGAATGATTTCTTTAAATCTTGAAGGGAACAAAGTAAAAATGTAGAAGAAACAGAGAACTAGAATAATTCAACAAATAATATTAGGTGAAATATATTGCTTAAAATAAAATAAGATCATTAGGGATAGATTTTTTAAAATACATTTGGGCTCTTAAAAGTTTCTTAAGCACTTATTAGAATATTCAAAAGCACCTGTATGCCTAAATCCCATTGAAATAAATGGGATTTAGATGACTAGGTGCTTTTGAGAATCTCACTTGCACCTCTCTGAATCTTTTGGCTTCTAATTTTTTTTTAAATCTGGCTTTGAGTCCTTAACTGGTAAAACCATATTCATGTAGGGTATTGTAGAACACAAACTTAGTATTGGTATTTTCTAATATTATACAAAATATATCTTGTATTTCCACCTAGTAAAGCTCTGTGAGACAAATCCTGCAGTCCTCTTCAGGCAAAACTTCCACTGAAATCCATATCTGAATAGTCATTTGTCTATAATCCAACACTATTCAATCTGTTTTAATGATAAGTATTATTGGTTTAACATTTTGAACATGACTCTTATTATGGCTTTCATGATGTTTATATCTTGAAACAAAACAAACCATTTCCAAAATTGAAGAATAATTTTACAACCATTTAAAATAGTTCACAGTTTCCGTTAATTATTAATTATTGTCAAGGAAGTAGATTATACTCTTCTCTTTAGCATCTGTTTTAACTGGAGAGTTTGGACACTACCATCCTTTAAATGATTAATAGCAATCACAAAATTTACAACGCAGTAAAAACGGTAAGACATTACAAAATATAATGTAAACGCTTTATGTAATATTTTTGCACTAAAAGCACATATTTTTGTATATGTTAAGCAACATAGAAGTGTATAGTCTTGTGATTACTGCTTATTCATCAATCATCTACAATTTCTCTCCTAATGGCAAAAATTATCTTTTTCCTTTTAATATTAATTTTTTTTCTACTCTGCCAGGAACAGTGAGCTCTGGTATATTTACAGCAACTCATTGTCCATACACTATGATAAAAAAGTGATTATTTCATTGATGACATTTCATTTTACTGTATATTATAACACATTACAGTTCTGTACAAACAATTCCTCCGTTAATCTGCTTCACTCAAACCTGAAAACTTGTCAGGAGTGTTACTCTTAGAATGAACATAATGTACAACCATTGTTTTAAGTGAATGCATCATAAAACGGGTGTTGCTTGTTAACCTTTTAAGCATGTTCAAATTACCAGCTTTAGATTAATGACATATAGCATTTATAATGTCTGTAAAAATAATACTAAACTATATGATAAATGATTATTTATATTTTTATTGGTTTATTTTTTAAACCAGTCTTGCTCTTTCTTAAACTGTTACTTCCCTCAGGATAATGTGAAATAGCTTATGGTTTTTTTTCTAAACATTTTTGTAAAAGTGAATTTTGATTCTACTTTAGAATCATAATTTATCACATTAAAGAATGTTTTGTTGAAAGTGACATTGGCAACTTGCCGATGGCTAATTTTACCTAAATGAACTAAAAGTTATATTTTAGTGAAGTTTACCTGCCCCATTTAGTAATCTTACATTAAACAAACACAGACCAAAAGCCCATAACCAGGATTTCTGGATTTCTTTTAATTTTCTCCTATGTTGATGTATGAAAGATTCAATGGACAACAGGAAAAACTGAAGAACTATACAGTGAAAGCAATGAAAGTGACTATACATAGTGTTTTCAAATGAACAAAATGAACAATCTGGGGGAATACATACACAAAAGCATGTTTTTTTTCTAATGTCTTTCAGTTATACTAACTCTAGCTGATTCTTACACACACAAATATTCATATGGAAATAATTTTTTAGGTTTGTGTGTCTTTTAAAATAAGCTTTACTAATAAGACTAGTGTATATGATGTTTATATTTAATTTGCTTTTAATTTAATTATTTGAACCAATATTAGACCTAGATAATTCTAATGGATGATAGAAAAGTATACATAATTATACTAGGTGATCTACTGATCTCAGTCATCAATGGCTCTCTCATCTTTAAGGATTAACTAATTAAATTAGCTAATTTTATTTTTTTATTAATTTGGCAAAATACTCTGTAATTTGTTATGGTTTCTATCAAACTACGTTTATATTATTTACTTACTGATGTACACTAACTTACAGTTTGAATCCATCCTCTTTAGATGATAACTAAGTACTAGTCACAATTCTGAGCTCTTTTTCTCCAAGTAGTTATTAATCCTAGGAGAAGAGCTAATACTGCAAGAGTAATTCAACTTGGTTGCTGTTCATATCCCATGGATTAATAAGATAAGATGCCTGAGGACACAGAGTGGCTCCTAGGTTACTAATTTTGTTGCCAACATACAAAATGCTGTATACTTTTTAATATTTTCTTTCTTAGTCCATTCATCAGAATTTCTATTGTTATGTTCACTGCCTTTGTATGTATAATCTTATTATTATTTTTGCAGCTGTTTGCTTTTGTTTCAGAAAGGTCAGCTTTGATGTTATTTCCATTTTTCAGGTCTCCCTTAAACTGTGTTCTGAGTTTGACCTTTGACAAAGTGACTGCAGCTGAAAAGGATGGTATCACAGTTATTTATAAAAGTCTTCCGGATCATAATGCTGATCTGCTGCCAGGATTTGACAAGTATTTTAACTTTACTTTGTAAATATTCTCCAAAAAATAAAACCAAGTTTACAATGAAAGTTAGATGAAGATTAAAATGTTGAAAAGCTAGTCAGCAAATATTCCCGTCCATATGATAATAAATACCATTTTTTCAAGCCACAACATAACACGTGTACTTTTTCATCATCTCTTCATGAAATGTTAGTAGTTATAAAAATGAACTAAATGTAATATATATTAGCTTTCAACTTTTATGCAGTACATTTAAAATAAGTAGAAGGATATTGTATACACTTTTGTCTGAAAAACTTAGAAGGTAATAGCAGTACAGAAAGGTTGGGTCAGTAATTTTTTTTAGTTCAAGGACCTTCACTGAAATCTAAGATAAAAAGTTATACCTTTTACTTATACCTTTACTAAAAAGCATTTTAAAATATTTTTCTATTAAAGTTGCCATTTTATTTGTCCTGGAAAAAAACAGTAGCTGTTTAAAAGCTGCCAGTACATTTAATGATATCTTATATAACTTTGGGTATAGACAGCCATAAGATTATATCAATATCAAATATCAATATATACGCTGTTACAATGTAACTGTTTCCTCTGCATGATTCTGTAGGGATAGAAGTATAGGAAAACCACTGTAACTTTCTTTAGGGGCAAAGTTGGAGCAGTCTAGTCAAACTGTCTTTTATTACTAAAGTATCTTGCAGACAGATAATAACAGCTGATTCTCACTCATGAGTACCAGCTCCCCATCTCCTTTTAAAGTAGTTAAAAGGTATCTTTGTCTATACCCTTTATCTCCCATTTATATCTTTTATCCTACAACCACTGTGCACACAAGTAACATTAAGTATGTGAATAACCCTATTCACCTAATGAAATTATTCAAATGTTCTGGGTTACTTCTACTTGTGTTTGCAGGATCAGGGATATATTTTCCTAATCTCCCAGTGCCAGCTCCGTGGTTGGGAGGCCAGGGCTGGGAGATCCATATCTCCCAGCAGCTACCCCACAACCATGGAGCTGGCGCTGGGAAAGAAGGATCTCCCAGCCCCAACCCCCCAATCACAGGGCTCGGGCTGGGAGATAAGGATTTCCTAGCCCTGTGATCGTGGAGTGGGGGCTTGGAGCTCCCTGTTGCTGGGGCAGGGGGACATAGTCCCTGCCTGGGCTCCAGTGGCAGAGCCCACCCTTGCAGCAGGCAGCTCCTAGGGACTGGGAGCAATCTCCTGCCCCCTGCTACCTGGCTTACCAGGAGCACATTTGTTCCCAGTCAGGTGTCTACACATGAGCTACTGTACAGTAAGTAATCTTGAGTAATTTGCTACTTGAATTTGCAGGTAGCAAATTTACTCACTATTAGACCCAATTACCGTGCAGTAAGCATTTGCATGTGTAGACATGGGCACTTACTGCAAAGTAATTAGCTCTACTGTGCATTAAAGCATCTTGTGTAGATGGGCCATCTGTGAAGCTGAAGCTGGGCTTAAGGTCTGGGCCAAAATGTCCAAATATTATCTCTTAGGTTCAATCTTGGCTTAAGCCTATGTATAATTTATTTACATTTAAATTGCAAGGCCTTTTAGGCATTTCTTATATGTTTTTACTCTTTTTTTTCTAAATATAGTAAGATGTCAAGACAAGTTTAATATATCAAATTATATGTAAAATTTATTTCAAGTATAGGATCTAGAAAAGAAAGTATTTTTTAAGTTATGAAAGAAATGTTGATGACTTTGTTTATTCTTAGTTGGAAAGTTTATACAGGATTTCCAGATACCTTCCAATGTACAAACCACCAGACACTTCAGACTTTGGAAAAGGTGGATGTGGATAGCCATTTTATACAATACAAGGTCAGCACATTCCTATTTAAAGCACATTATTAGCTATTACCCAGTTTTTTAATGTACCCGACTTTCACTTTATTTTCTGTGCAAGTTAATGCCTTGAATGTTTTCTTGCATGGACACATAGGTTATCATACCACCAAAGGGTCCAATGGTTAAACATGTCTCTGTGGTACATGTTCATTTAAGACAGGGGTTTTCAACCTTTTTTAATAAGTGTACCCCTGGTGGGTGAACTTGGAGCAGAGGGGCAGGCGGGTGGGGGGACAGCTGGATGAGGAGTGGAAGGGGGCTGGCTGCATAGGGTGGTGTGTGGTGGCAGCAGCCACCACATGTGAGCTTCCTTCCCCCTCCCCCCTGCATCCAGCCGGCGCCTGTGCGGCCCGCAGTGGGGCACCGCTGCCCTTGCCCCCCACCCCAGCCTTACTCCTGGGCGGTGATGGCATGGAGTAGTGGATGGTGGCACTCCATCCCCACCTGCCCACACATACCCCCTAGGACCTTCCCAGGTACCCCCTGATTTAAGATGCTATGGGATCTCATCCTTGATCCCAACAATCATGCCTTTTGCTATGCCACGTGCATGGCAGGAGATGTGATTTTTGGGCTCCAGAATCAGATCCCATTTGTGCCCTTTCTACTTGCAAGTGCAGAGAAAGCCTGAGCTTATGATCCCAAGCTCCCTCTACACCAGCAACTTGAAATCAGGATGTCCACAGCCTATTCTGAAATGTTTGATACGTGGCAACCCAAAGTGTTGTTTTGTTTCTGGTGAAGTAGAATGACCATGATGTTTATACATTAGTTATTGGTATATTCATGTTTCAAATAAAATTACTTCAGAGGCAAAAACTATCTGATCAAGATTGAGAAAAATGTAAAATACTTGAATATTACTGATCCCTATCTATAGTAAAAGATTAGGCATACGTGTTAGAAGATAAAGAATGGGCTAGTTAATATTAACCTAAAAACAGCAAGTATGCTACTATATGGTGGCTTTTAAATTTGGAAACAAGATGAGTACATGCAAGGATTACATATCTGGAAGTGAACAATGTACTGTGACTAGTAGTAATGTGATATCCTCAAGAGAGACTCTTTTAAAACAAAATTCAGGGCAGAAGTGCTAGATACCTAGAAAATTTTGTATTCCAGAACCTTTGTGCTCAATGAAGTGCAGAAGACAGTAAGAGGATTACACACTAAAGAGGTAAAAGGCTCAGATGTTCTGGGTGCATATGCTTTAAATCTATCTTCAGGTTTAGATATTGTAGTTCAGCCCCTAACTGTTACTTTTAATCTTTTATTGACAAGTAAAACCTTTCCAGCAGAGTGGTATTAGAGTGGAATTCAGACCATATAATCCCTGTGCATAAGTCTGTGACTATAGACAACCCTGACAATTACAACCTGTTGTTCTTTTATCACTGGTGAGAAAGACTAGCCATAAATCAGCAAGTTGGGATAGAGAAGCATCAGCTGATTTAATCTTTTGATGCTTTATCAGTTCTGGTTATATGATCATTCTTTACAGCTTTCATAAAATTAATCATATTCTGTTTTTGACAAGGGAAGGTTAGAGGATATATGATTTTGGACATTATATTTCTATCAGCTTAATCTTTTAGTGGGAACTAAATACTTAAATCCCTAAATATTGTATTAAAAAATTTCCTCAGGATTTCAGGGCTTTCTCAAATATAATAGAAACAATTAAACAATTCAAATCCTCATATTGGCATCTCACATTCGGTGAGTTGCAATGTATGTATCCTATGTATTTCTAACACAGCAAGTAGTAATTATTTTCAGCTTTTTACTCTCTCTCTCTCTCTCTATATATATATCAGATTTTTACTATATATATTATATAGTAAAACCTATATATATAGATAAAATGTATATCTAGGTTTTACTACATAGTAAAAACCTAGATATATATATATTTCTCTCTCTATATAGAGAGAGATATAAAGTAGGCCCACCTTTAATTATAATTTGTTACATTCTTTAATGTATGCACCTTTGAAATTCTTCAGTATCACATTACAAAGTATAGCTTATCAACAGTGAACTATATTTTTAATCCAAATTAAGTAGTTTTTTGACTTAAAAGAATCAGTTTTATAGAGCTTGCATAGCGTTAGAGACAGTAGCAATGTGACTTTAGATAATGCTTAATGAAGTTTGGTGATTTCTAGTCATCTTGGACCTTCTCCATATCAGCAGTTGCCAGAAGTTAATAAGAAGGGGATGACAAAACCAGAGACTTTTTCTCTTGCTACCTTCCTTTATTGTAGTCTGGCGCACATAATATTTCTGGCATGATTAACATGTTAATAGTGCTATGAATACACATGATGCAAAATGCTGTGTAACATCTCTGTGGCTGGTTTGAATGGCACCATAAACTGAACATAAGGTACACCTCATCATTCTAGGGATGAGTGACAGGCTGTGACCTTGAACCTAGAGCAGGGGCAAGCAATTATTTTGGGCAGAGGGCCGCTTACTGAGTTTTGGCAAGCCATCCAGGGCCACATGACAGGCAGCCAAGGGCAGATAAATATTAATTTTCTAAATTTTTAGGGGCCCTGCAGGAGGGATAGAATGGCCTGGCAGGCTACATCTGGCCCACAGGCTGCATTTTGCCCACCCCTGACCTAGGGCCTTTGTCTGCCTGGGGCAGATCCTCATCCCACTCCACCACCTCCTCAGCAACACTGGGGTAGACCCAGATGGCCAGAATCCTCCCTCTGGGCCTAGCCACACACTCTCTGTCTGCTACTGGAATGGCCAACAAGGTCAGCTGACCCTTCACCCCTTCCATTATAAATGCTTGACCCAGAACAGAAAGTATCTGGGCAACAAGGCTTAACTCTGTATCTAGGCTGCTGCACTTCTGACTTGAGCTGCTACTACTTTGGTTACCTGATCTAGCTTACCCACAGACTCAGTTTGGCCTGACCTGACTCTAGTTTGATCTCTTGGATACTTGACCTGACAAGCCTCCCGACATTGTGCTATACCTGATCCACTGGATTTGTCTAGGTTCCCCAGATGGATGTCCTGGCTTCTCTGTGTTACATCTTTACACTCCCCTCACATCTTGGCTGCTTCTCCTGACCCTGCAGTGACACCAAAACCTGACTGCCCACA